GTTGGTAAATTTGATCTAGTTGAAACTTTAGTGTATCATTTTGCAATCTAGCTAAGCGTTTGTGTTTAGACGAAATAAAATCAAAATGAGAATATACACACAAAAAAAAAAGCTAACAAACTCCAAAAATTTGAAGGTTCATGCAAATAAGAAAATAAATTACGATTAAAATTATAATATAATTTTGAATATAGTTAAATTATGGGTTGGTCTAATGTTTATTGTATATATAAACCAAATTTTTTACAATCATATTAAAGTGTTGTTTAATATTGTGAAAGAACACAATGTTGTTCATGAAACAATGTAGTGTTGCTTCACAATGTGAAAAAAATGACGTGAAATGTGTGAAATACTAAAACGTTGTTTCACACGGTGAAAAACAAACACATTAAATCACTTTTATTCATGTAAGAATTGCAATTACTAAAAAATATTTAAAAAAACTTAATTATATTTGTGTTAAATTAAATTAAATGTTCGTTTTTTATATAAAATTTTTGATTTAAAATCTATTGTAATTAATATAGTTTTGATTTTAAAAAAAGATGGTATTTAATTTAAATTATATGCTATCAATAAGAGATAGGGAAAAAAAAGATTTATTTTTATACCATCTAAAGAAATGTTTGTATGTGAATGACCCATGTATGCAAAATATTATCTCCAAACTCTTACAGATTATTCTTGAATGTGGTTGAGATCTGTTCTTATAGTTCTTAATCTTTTTGTGATTCTCATTTGATTTGTCCTTTTTATATAGGGTTGGATCTTAATGGTACTGAAAGTTATGGTAAGAATGATAAGAAAAATTGTTATTAAAATTATTAAAAGTAATTATTTATGTTGTATCTGGTAATGTAGAAGCGTGTGACTGTGAAACGAAATGATGATAATGTTGTTGGGGTTTTTATGCCCACATTGAAAGGAAAGTGGAAAAAGAATGTATTAATTTACGTACAAACGTATCCCTTATTTAATAAAATGTGTTAAAGCCCATGTCATGGAAGGTTTGGGCTTTGGTAAAACAACCTTCTAATCTTGAATTTGGTTCATAAAGGAAGGTTTTTTCACATTAAACCCGGTATTTCTTGTGTTTGATTTTGTATCTGAATTAATTATTTTGTTAACAAGCGGTCACAAGCCCTTTCACTGTAAGTCGTTGGTTCCGATGAGAACGGAAGTTATGGTGAGAATGGTAAGAAATGGATGATCCACCATTTAATCAATCTTAATTGAAGATCAATATTAATGCGGTGCATCAATTCACGTGATAAGCACAATTTATGGATAGGGTGCGATTAAAAGTGATCATGGGTCTAAATTCATTCATACGCTTCTCAACTTAACTCTTATTCTCACAGGATCTTTCGTCTTCATCGTTAATCATTGGTTTATTAAATATCAAAGAATAGTATTGAATATGCTAACTTACATCATGTAATTTTGTGTGTGTGTGTGAACCATGGCTTGGTACCTGGGCAGTTTGTGCATACTTCGTCTGTCTAATCTAATGGGTTGTGGAGAATAACAAGGAAAATCTCCAACAACTTTGCAGAACTCAAATTAATGACTTTGAAAAAGATTATCAACAGTTCAAATCTTGTTATCAATTTTTATGTAATTACTTAACCTCGCTTTATTTGACTTTTTTGTTTATTTTCTTTTTCATAGCTTGTGACAATGTTTTGTTTAAAAAATGAAAGTTCTCGACCATGTCATGTGCATGTTTACGTTGCTAGCATATATCTTTTGGTTCAAATTGCATGTTTTATGATCTCAATTTTTGAATATGTTTCACATTTCAAATCAGAGCAATTTTTGCTCATCTTTATTAAGCAATCAAACCAGATTTATCCTGTTCATATGTTAATTTAAATAGTCAGTTTTAATATTTTGAAATGATTTTAAAACTTTTAATTACGCCATTTATAAAAAATTAGTTTATATTTTTTTTATGATTCATAGAAAATATACCAACATCATATTTTGTGTACTGACCAATTGTCGTGTACCACAAGTATTTCAGTTGCTTTGATCCTGTGTCATTTTCATAAACAAAGAAAATCAGAATGGAGTGTTTGATATTTTAGTCACTTGTTTATTGAATATAATAGTAATTTACCAAACAATCGGGTACATTGATTGTAATTGTCGAAGACTTATGTATTCACCTTTATTTTATGATCCGAAAATTCAAGAGGTAGATAAACATACTTGTCACGTATGATGGAGAGACGAGGTTAATTTTGTCTTTTAAGTCGTGTCTACCTTAATTTCAGAAACTAGTATGTGAACCAAGTATATCACAAAGAAAGTTTTGTCACTAATTTCTAATACAAACTTAATTTTCTATACTTGGATCTCTTTTGAGGCTAAGGGATCGTTTACCAATGCTAACTGAGTAAAGTGGTTACGGGCAATAATTACCACCCTCACTTATCTTATCAGATCATTGTCCATCCCATTGCATATTCAATTGTCAGAATAATCAACATTAAAATAATACTAGTTTTAAACCTAAAAAATGCTCAAAGTGGGTTTGTTGGAGATATTAAACAGTAATTAATGAGAATGAAAATAAAAAGAACTATTTGGTTTTATATAATATAATGAATCAATTTCCCTAGAAGCCCAAATTTTCATTCCAAATTAAACTGTTCTCGTTTTCATTTTCATTCCATTTTTCATTCCTCTGCCTCAATCAAACCTCCTTAGTTCATGTTTGGTTGGTGGGATGGGATTGGATTCGGTATGATTTGGAATAAAATGTTTGGTTTGAAGGATTTTGTAGATATGCAATTCCAAGATTTCATTGAAATCCCATAAACATAAGATTTTGAAATCTCATGACAATCGTCGATATTCCATATATATCAAAAGTATATGTTTTGTAATAGTAAATTAATTTTAAAAAATTAATTTTTTTAATAGTTTTTTTTATTTATAAATAATAAAATTCATTTTTTCTCAAAATCTTATAAACCAAATACTCAAAATATTCCAAATCTAAATCGCCTCTAATTCTAAATTCTTCCAGAAATCCAAATTCTTCAAAATCTTTCCATCAAAACAACCACTTGATAAAAAGAAGTCCATATTTAGTACTGATTTAATACATAAAAGGTAGAATAAATTACGTATTAGTCTATTTATATTTAATGTTTGTCTCGGCCGAAAAGGAATAGTGAAACCGACATATTCCCGACAAATCTTTTTGAAAAAATAGATGGAAAACGATGTTGACTAGGAAATAAGTGAAGTCCATAGATCCTTCATGTGATTATAAATTTTTAAATCTTGAAATTTAAATTGAATTATATATTGAAATTCATTCTCTTATATAAATTTTTAAATCAGTTTATTCGATACAAATTCATTCTCTTATATAACTTGTTATTATCTCCAATAAGGCAATATGAGTGCGACATATCTTCCAGCGAGCTTCAACTAGTGAGCCCCTCATCGATCTTGCCCTATTGTATGCGTGTATTTTAGTTGTCATCGTTCTTGGTTCAGACATTCGATAACAATAAATACTTTAGTTGATGAATGAAACGATTAAGATATAAAAGACATGAGTCAACGTGTGCATAAGCTGACTCAGACATCTACAGTTACAAAAAAGACATTATGTGACAACAACATATGAGGCTCCCATTTCCACATGTATACAACAATGAGGAGCCAGGGGAAATGCACTCATTCATCATCATAACAACAATAACAGTGGTGATGATTTGATTAGGTTGGATTGTGGCACCAAAATGCAATATATAGATGCACACTATCGTATAATATAATTGCATTTATATGGAGAAAATTGTAAATTTAATTGCTCCTCAAGGTATACAAGTCTGATCAGATCCGGCATTCACCCTGATTTTCATCTCTGCCTCCACTATAATTCTTTCTAGAATGTAGATCGTTACTATGTTTCCCTTGTTAATGTTTGCATGCTACATCCCCATATCCAGATGCTTATCTTGTTCTAGGGTGACGTTTATTTTATAAGAGATGTTTAAGTATGAAGTCTTATTTCACTTTTGATTGATAAGATGTGGTATTAAAGTCTAAAATCTGAATCAGTAAGATTGTTATGACCGTTGGCTTATATGTCGACCCTGAATGGTATGATCGGTCCCCAAAAACCGATTCCTCTGGAATCGAATATTTGCGTTTGATCCGACTTCGATCGGAGAAAGCCTCGGGAAGTGGAACAAATGTAGTTCGTCTGTCACCCGGATGCTTATTGATCCCTCGGGGCCTCCGCTTTCAGTTAAGGCCACATAGACTCCTCTTAGTCTTCCGGTGAGGAGTAGGCATTTGCTTTTGTAAACTGACAAACGTCTGAAGTTTGAAATCTGAATCAATAAAACTGTTTGTTTTTGTAACCTGACAAACGTCTGAAATTTGAATCAATAAAACTGATTGATTTTGCAAACTGACAAGCGTCTTAAGTTTGAAATCTAAATTAATAGTTTGTTTTTGTAAACCCACAATGTCTGAATATGTATAGTTGTCTATTTTATCCCTCAAAATGTCATACATTCATAAAGTATGATTTAGAACACGAGTTTATATAGCTAAAACTTAACATCATGCATTCATAAAATATGATCTAAAACACGGGTTTATATAGCTAAAACATGCCAAAAATTTCAGAACTTTCTATGAAATCCAAATCTCTCACATTCTGTCAAATCAAAACTGGTTTTTACATTCTCAATACTTTGATTTGACCCAAAAATACTATAGTATCCAAAGTAGCTTTTGCACACCTTGACTAATCCCATAGGGCTCTGAAATTAACAATCATGAAAACCCTCCGGTAGCTCTAGGAGGACTAGGACTTGAACTGATGACATGCAGAAAACAAACTCTCAAGGTCTTACCAATTAAGCTATTCTTGATGGGTTTTGATATAACCATTCTAGCCTTAGAAAGACCATTTCCCATGAACTAGAATCAAAAGAACAAATAAAAGCAATGAACCACAAAAACACTACCATGATTTCAGCATCTACAATACCAAATTCTAAATCTCAAACAAGACAATTTCAGTAAGAAATTTACACCTCAAAAACCTCCTCTTCATTAGTTGTTGACCATACTATTACTATGAGCTAAAAAGACCCAGAAAGACAAAAACTTATATTGGCAATTCATGTAACTAAAGAAGTAAAGAAAGAAAAATAAACAGATGATGTTGTGATCAATACTCACTATCATATGCATCCCCACCATCATAATCATCAATCATCATTACCATAACCATTCATTCCCTGTTCATTGTCATAGCTCCATTCATGACCTTCTGTTTCACCATCATCATAGCCCAAATCCTCTTCTAAAACTTAACATGATATATAAAAAGATATATGATCTAAACATGTATAGCAAATATCAAGCAAGAAATCAATTGGTTACCTAAAGAATGTGAGGATCTACACTGAGAAGTTCTAACAGAAACTTCTTGAATCTTGAAACACAGATGATCTGGGGAAAATCATACAGAAGATTTGGGGAAATCAGAAACAAACAAGTTTGTAACAACAAACAAGGCACCATGACACAAGGACTGTGGGTAAGAAAAAAAAAACAAGTACGAAAAAACAAACAAACTTTTCCTCTGATCGACGATATAACACACTTTTTGAGGGTAAGAACACAGGGGAGAACCACAGGGTCGAGCCACAGCGACGAACCACAGGGTTGAAATCAACAGAAAAACCTGGAGGGGAGGGGAGATCAGAATCAAAACAGAAACTGGAGGGGAGGGGAGATCTGACATACCTGGAGACCGATTTGGAGGTGTTTTGAGAGAAATGGAGGCGATATGAACTTGGAGGCGGCGATTAAGAGACGTTAAGAAGTTAGGTTACCACTTCTTTTTTCAGATGAACTTGAGAGTTAAGAGGGTCTGAAAAAAGGGAAAAAAAAACAAACAAGTTCTATGTAAAAACGTCAGACCGAATCAGACATAGGTGGTATTAAGAGGTAAAAGTGAAAAGACAAACAACTCATGAATTAACCATGATTTATACTTCCAAGTAATTTATTGTGACCTTGATGAATTTTGTTTCATGGATTCCTAAAGCATGTCAATCTTATGCAATCACAACTTAGAACTTGGCATTTCTTTCTGTAGAGCTTCTCAAATCCTCATTTTATATTTCCCCATAACTTCATTCATATTGCCATTAAAGGTAATCAAATGGCAAACTAAGTCAAACAAATAATCAAATCAGCCTATTTAACGAGCAATAAAAACAAAATGAAGCAGAGGAAAAAATGAAGCAACCATCAAAAGAAAGAAAAGAAGCACATGGAAAAACCAACCTGATCTTGCAAGTCAATTTTCTTCTGTTGTTGCATTAATTTTCTCCTTGACATTTCTACAAACAACTAGGCTACCATTGCATCAATTTAGATCTGTGGAAGGGTGTGAGTGATGCACGACACAAGCAGCAATGCAAAATCTAGGGCTACATTATTCTAAATCTAGGGCTAACAAGACTACTAACCATACAATATTCAAGGCAAAATATAACCTTTTTGTGTACTAGAAACATCAAACTATAATTTATCAAAAAACGAATTCAAGGAGATTTGATCCTTTCATACTCGCAAGTAGGAGGCAAAATACTATGAAATCACCATGCTCTTGAAACTAACTATATGGGTTGTCTTTCTTCTTCCCTCTGAATTGCATTTAACGGTTCATGTTGATGAAGACATCATGCTATTCAGAACAAAATCAACTATCTTAAGAGAATCTAGGGTTCTTAGTAGGAATAGAGTAAATAGGTTAGGATAAGAAAAAATATCTGGATGTACACCAGGATTGTTACCAGCAATCAAATGAACACAATAGAGGAGGTGAGCAGCAACAAAGACAAGGTACTCGTGGAAATAGGCGCCCCTAAATGGCATGGCAATCCCCTAGAAAATGAGCAATTTAGAGGGGTTTAGAACGATTCAAAGGTTATAAATTTTTTACCAAACAGGAATCGTCTATGCCCAAATCAGAGGTAGCCTCTGAAAGTCTGAATGAATCATTCAGATGCAATTAAGCACCCCCTTAAGTAGATAGGGATAGAGACCCTCCAAGACTTTGACGAGCATATACAACATAGCATCTTGTAGAGCTCGAGGGGATCCTAGCTTGTCCACATTTAACATTGGATTCAAGTCTAGTGTATGGATTAATTCAGCCTGCACCTTGATGAGAATCCTGCGTCTAGATCTTGATGTCTGTCATGAAACTATGGTTGCTACCTTCTAGATAGAGGAGCCACTACACCAATGCAATGAGCCATGATGGAAGATCAACAAGTTCTAGATTGTTTCAGGAAGGTTTGGGCCATTTATGATCTAAAATCTATTGGTTACTGAGCCCCAACACACTATACGATTCCACAAGCAGTCAAGTTGATTAGTTGAAGTCATTTCCGAACAAAATGAATCCAATATATCCTGTTTTTTCGAAAGCAAAGTCTGGGGAAGTTAAAGTCATTTCCCTTCGTATTATATTCTTGCATGGCCAATTTAGCTTCATAAGTCTTTGTGTCAATCATCATCTCTTAGAAACAATAAAGTTCTAATCTAATGTTATGTTATTGTGGACTGCTTTGTTTTTCTCGGACTTCCTTCAATAATAAATCCTAGAGCCAATGGTTGCAAAATCATGCCGCATTGTTTTTTCTTTACTAGTATACATCAACCATTTCTACAGCTGTATATAAATGTACAATCCACTCCATACCAAGCTAGTTATGTGATGGTAGTGAGCAGCCAGGTAGCCATGGGCCATGGGGCTACCAGCCATGGCAATTTGCATAGAGACGAGTCATTTGGTATGTGGAAGATACATGTCCTTCCCCAATTTACCGCCTTTAGTCTCCATATCTCTTTATTAAACATTTAGTTCAAGGTATCTGCTATTGTATTGCTCAACAGATACAATAATTCAACATGCAGAAACGGAATAGGACACAAAAATGTAAGAGGGTCTGAATTACAGTTCTCATGCAAGATCCATTCAACAACTTGAATTTATCAGTTTTATTGATATGTATCTTATATCAGTAGGTTGAAAATTACTTACAGAGTTGAACATGGTTATTAAAATCTCATTGAATTTTTGAAAAAAGAAAAGAATAACCCGATAGACTACTGTAAACTTAGGCACTCTTCTAACAAGCATGTTCACTAGTAATTTATAACGCCATTGGCGATTAATTCGCCCGAAATTTTTAATAGAGTTAGCAGACAGTAAATTCATGAGATTTCAATCAAAATAGAATCCGATAATTCAAACCCTTTAAACCACAAACGAAGACATACAGATAAAAAAAACTTCAAACCTGTTCAAACACAGCGTCAAGAAATCGCTAACGAGAGATCTGGGCTTCTAGGTATTTCCGAAATCAGTGACCGTAAAATTCGATCTTCTTGATTGTAGTCTGCAGAGGTAGATGGATTGAAAATTCCCATCATACTTTGATTCGAACCCTAATCGGAAGGAATAGGATTCGTGCCCTCTTTGCTCTGAGCGTCTCTCACATTGCCCCCCACTAGTTTCAGTTATTTCAATTTTAACCGTTTTACTTTTTACCTTACATATATTTGGTCAATTTCTACTCGTTAGCTTGATAATACTCACAATTTATTTGGGTAGTTATGTATGATTATTTTGTAATGGATTATATATTGTTGGTAAGTTAATTTATTTTCTAGATATAAGTTTGGATGCACATAAGCTAGCTTCTTGGTAAAAATAAACTAATGTGAAGTAGCGTTTTGCTAGTTTATTTTCATTTTCTTCAATTACAATCCTCATTAATATTAATTATTCTTTATTGCTATTAATTATAAATAAATATTGATAAATTTTAAATATTGCTAATGTTAATAAATTTAAATTATTAATTATTA